GCCTGTCACTGCCAGTCAGACGAAAGTAGTCCAATTTCCACTTTAAATCCTAGCCCCAGAGGAAGAAATGTCAGACGTTAGTCGGCATATTGACACTTGGCTGATACGCGCGTGTGTAGATGCGGATTCACATAGGTGATTCACTTCCACTCGGGCGCCCGGATTTCTGCAGTGTGATTGCAGACGGAAACTGACAGGTAAATGACCACACCTACACCCATTGTAGGAAATTTTGGGAAATCCACTCTTGGTCTGGCAAAATGTTGTTAAGCTTCAGGATCCATGATTACCAAACGTTGAAAAAGCATAACAGAAGTAGAAGATGCGATCGCTGGAACAAGAATTTTAGCTAACACAGTGACACTTTAAAACGGTCAAACAATTTTCTGCTCGCATTCTTGATGAGGTTGCTCATCCACTTAGTTCAGGAACTAATGGCTGCAAAGTCTTCCCTTACTATGCGCCCAAGTTTCCGACATATATCTTGCCATACATCGGCATATCAGCACTCTGTACTCCCATTCCTAGCACGCTATCTCAGGTGGAAAGAAACGGAAATCCAAATTTTGAAATTAGACCTGTCTCCATAATAGATGTGGATTTCATATTAACCTCTAGATTTTGACTATTTTATTACCTTATTCCTTGACCTCAGGGAATAGAGCCATTTGTTCTGAAAGTTTGGATATTTACCTTCAAAATAAAGTGTATTTCGCTCTCTCTCTCTCTCTCTCTCTCGCAATTCATTATGAGAAGCCGAATCTCCATAAGTTCATTTTGATCAATCAAGACCGCGGGGGAGGCTAGGAGCCTGAATACGGTTACCATCGACACCTTTGGAGAAACATTATCAATAATGCTGATTTACATACCATCCAAGTGGGGTCTGGTACGATTACCCGACAAAGCTACCAGTTACCAGGCCGGTAAAATCACAATTGTCAATCAGCGATGGTGCAATTTAATGGTTTTCCATCGATGTTGGCACTTTAAAAATAAAATGCTTTGCAAAGACCAACAAAGTGAGCATAGCAAACATATTGTTTACGCATTCCATATCATTGACAATTTTATCTGGTATCTTGCTGCCTATTCGCGACTCTTACCGCTACAGGGCAAAGTTTGCTTGACCTGACAAGTCAATCAGATCATTGCATTCCAAGTACTGTATTGGACGCTGATTAAGAGTTAGACAATAAAATTAAGTCTAAACAAAAAAGATGAAACATATTTACCTAGAGTGGCCTAAATATTGAGGACATAAGATGCAATGGAATTTAATTTGAAACTCGGGACTGTATAAAAGTTAAATCACGTAAAACTTACGCCAACTAGTAAATTCCCACTTAATTTCCATGTAGAAGTCTGGAGTCTCCTTGAGGTTGTTCAGCAGAGAGGTGATCAGTTTGGCCTGATTCTTAAGCATGTGCGAGTCGCGGTGCGTAAGTACTAGTTTTAGAAGTTCGGGATCGCCTGTGCTGGTCGCCTCCTGGGTTGCTGTGAAGAAACAGAGCATTCAACAAGGTCGCCCAAATGCGGAACAAAATCACATTTTTACTCAAGCAACGAATATTGATTACATAATGCCCAATTCCTTCACTATCACAATGGGTATCCAACAGATTGACGTAACTCACTCTTTAAATCGCATTTAAGGCATAAATCCGACCTCCAGTTGACCGAAAGAAAAGAAAGCTGCCCAGTACCATATCAAAATATTATATAATGATGAAACGGTTTAAATGGCGGGAGACATACCTGACCAGCAATCCCTGCCCTTTACACAAGCATTCGCGCCATGTCGAAGCAGGACTCGAGCTGACTCCAGATGGTCAAGTATGATAGCAAGAAGGAGTGGTGTGCGTCCATGAGGATCGAGAGCCTCGATGTCGTGCTGATGATAAACCAGTAGCGTGAAAGCAAATCAAGTACCTTCTTCTGGAGCAGTAGTTCTTCTAAGGCCAGATAATCGTTCAGCCATGCAAAGTAGTGCAGGGGATACTTCTCAGAAATTTCCGTTTCCAGCATCAGTCACTCGCTCAGTAGTTTCTGTGCAAAAATGAGAAAACAAAATTTAAGCGGGTCTACAAAGAACGCAAACAGTAATGGCAATAAGTGGCTTCATGGTCCATGGTCTGGACACGTGGTGAGTGAAAAAGGATCCTGTGGTGCTGTCAAAAATACACCTAACTGAAAAACGGAAAGCCTTTCCCTGATATGAAAATCTAATTGTTCAGCAAGAATTAAAATATTAGAAAAAGGTCGCAGCACAAGCTTACATTAGCCTAAATAAAAAGAATAATGCTTGAGTGCATCCGAGGTGTAAATGTAGTCTTTTCTTGGTAAGTTTTGTAGTCAATAACACATGTAGCTTCGTATTGAAACGTAGGTATCTATGAGATCTTTAGTGTTTAGGGTTTACAAAATTCCAATGGACGGGTGCCAACTGCCTCCAACCGGTCCACGCATACACCCCTCAAGTTTCTGTTTACCGAAGATGCACAAGGATGGCCTAGATACCGTCCGATTTTGGGTATGCGAAGCACTCCGTATTATGCGATAGCGTAGGCGTTAGCAGAGAAACTCAGACCCGTACAGTATCAATAACACCACGTAACCAGTCAGGTGCCTTTCATTATACTGACGAAATTAAAGACCTGAGGCTAAGTGGCACGATGATTTTTCTTACTAGACGTCTCGTCACACTACCAGTCGTTTCGGTCACCGAGATAGACCATTTCATCTGAGAATTTCTACCAGTCAATCAGTAAGAAATAGGAAGATTAACGAACGCAATAAGGGACTTATTACTAAAATGTACAGATCCAGCTCTATTTAGGCAACCAACTATAAAGACGAGTAGACAACGCTACTATGAGATCACCCCCTTAAACTTTCTTAGCCAATGTCTTCAGACGCCATCCGTAAAAATTACCACTAACGGATTAAATAAAAGGCGAAGACAATAAATTCGCTTCAACAACGATTCCTTATCAAGCGCTGCAAGCGCTGCAAGATATAGTCACGAACGCAGGATCAGATGAATGTAATAAGATAAGATAACGGTAGGATTTAGTGTCGGAACTACGCAAAAAGGAACACAGTGGGGCAACTTTCAACAGGTTCGTAAAGTAAACATCCTAAAGGCGGAATTATTACGTGAATTGCTCATAATTTTAATAAAACTGACTTAATAATTATTAAAGTGTGCCATGGTCGGATAATTCACAAAGCGCAAGCAACAAAAGTGTCAGATATTACAACTCGGAACTGTTCAGGGATATGAAGACAGCAAAACAATATCGCAATATTCAGAGAAACTCCACAGAATCCAAAATAATGTAGGCTAGACGGCTGATCAACGTTGCTAATGCGACGTCGTACAGATTTATCTTCACGACTCGATCCGGAAAACAAAAACAATCGGCGTTTATCACAATATATCAGTTACTTATTTTGCTGCACTTTTCGGGAAGCCAAACACACGACATTAATTTTACGTTTTTGGCACTAGTGCCTACATTAGTAATTAGTGATGCAGCAGCCGTGTGCAGATACAGCATAATATTAATAAGATAAGAGACGGATATTCAATTAAAAAATTAACCATTAAAGCGAAAATATAGTTAGAAATATCAAAGCAACGAAAACAGCAAAGCATAATGTAAATTCCTTTGTTTTACTGACCAGATTTCTTGCGCAACTAAAGGCTCCGCAACCAACAATTTGTCTGACCACGTTCGCCTTGAATAAGGATTTAAACTATAAGTTTAAACAATCATAAAAACGAATTTTTCTAGATACATATTAAGGCTTTTTGCATCCAGATTAGTAAAAAATTTAACATTTTGTTTAATCTTATCATTATGCAAAGCGTTTTTTACGGAGGACGCGTGAACGCGACTCTGTGGATTAATTTTCCTCGTATAATGTAGATGCGCTTTTATTCAGCTTTGAATTAATAAACATAGAAGCCACTGATATAACTCACTGCGGATATATAAGGGTGGCATAGACGGGCTAAAGCCCTATCTCCCTATTTAATCCATAGGTGGTGGAAGTATAGCAGACCAGGAAATCGAAGAGGGTTTTTTGAACATGGTGACACTTCTCACCTTTCGGTGAAAGCAGCCAGTGTCCCTGCCATTTGACTTCCGACCCCCTTCCTGCAACTCAACTGAACTCTCCCGCACTATGTCGGTGCATTCTAAATCCTTTCCCTACACTTGCACACAAACCTTTTATTTGCCATCGTTTGTGTAACGCGCTTGTGAACGTCACCCTTCATCTATATAAGGATCATCCAAAGCTGTTATGTATCCTATTGTACTTTTCTCTCATTACTATCCATCTTA